ATTAATTTAAATTGCCTATAATTAAGAGATACAGTAAGCGTAATGTATTCTTTTATATTTACAACGATTTTCATCATTTTTATTTGTATTCTTATTATTTTATATTTTTTATTTAATAAGTCGTCATTTATAATTAAACTCGTCATTCTCGCATTTTCATTCTTTGTCCTTTTAAATTTTTCTTCGAGGTTTCTCTGTCAAACTGATTACAAAAAAAAAATTTATTTTTGTCTTTAATTAATTAAAAAATATGTTTCTTAAAGTCAACTTATATTGAATAGTTTAATTACAATTCGATTAATAAGCCCTATCGATAGTAGGTTTCTAGTTTTTATACAATCTTTAAATGTTTACACATAGAACGTTCTTAATTAATATTTCAGCGTCAATGTTTTTTTGTTTTTTTTTTTAATTAAGTAGATTTTTTCGATTCAAAAAAAGTTTATTACCCCTATATTTCATATTCTGTACAAATTTAAATCACTATGACTATAATAACAATAGAGTAAACAAATAAATTTGACTTAGAAAAAAAGAAGAAAATATGTTAAGCATTGTTTTTTTTTGTACAATTTACAATAAATAATATAAACAATTGACATGTTCTTCGTCTATCAATCCATTAGTTCATCTTTGTATTAATAATGAATTAATGATTATATTATCGGTTCGAAGTTAATTATTAGAAAAAAATAATAAATACAAAAAAAACCTCGAGAATGATATAGTTGATTATATTCGATTTTTGTCTTTCATTCAACTTTTATTTTGTTTGTTTCATTCTTATTAATTTTTTTATGTAATTTTTTATTTTTTTTTTTTTATTTTTTTATTTTTCAGACAAATATGTCTCGAGCTATTTTAATTATTAGCAAATCCCCCAATTACAAGACGCAAGTAATAATGGGGATGTCAACAGTAGGCATCATGTCACTTCCATCGCAAGTGAATTATTTTTGTTAGTTCGTACAATTTGTTGCTGTTGCTGCTGTTTACTTTCACATGGTGCTCCTTCCACACCATCAACTTCCATGCTTAATCCTTCGCTGAAATATTTATAACAATTACATACAATCAATTGTATTTCAATCAATTATCATCATTGTAAATGAGATGTTTTAGAACAATCAAGTGAATTTTATTCAACTTAAAGAAAATGATAATCAAAATGGAATCAATTTGCAAATTAAAAATGAAGATTATCAGAAGATAAAAATTGCGAATCGATATTGGAATAACATATTCAGATCTCAAAACTTTCGAGTCACTAGCAATTTATTTTTCTAAAAAAGAAATATGACAATTTTAGAATAAAAAAGTTATTTTGGAAATTGAAATAGTTAGATATTCATAATTTAAATGGTATTTTTTATTTAGATAATAATCTCCTTAGTAATATGCATGATTTTTGGTTTTAATTATTTTTTTTATCGGAATATTAATCTTTAATTATTTTAAAATTATATTTGATATTTTAATATTTTAAAGTCGAACATAAAGTATATGGCAATAAGTTGAACATTTAAAGACCGTTATGAATGATTAATTAGCACATACTAACTTCGTAATACTTATTGAGAACAACGAGAGTGAGTTCTCAAAAAAGTTGAGACCAATCAAGGCAAAATTTAATAAAAATATTATATATATTTTATTACTAATCAATATAAAAAATTTAATTTTCCTTATTTTCTGTTAAAATTGATCAAAAAAAATAATAATACCAAAAATCATACACTTATTTTTAAGAACGGGTCCGATTTTTTTTTCTCCTAGCACTCATTGAGAGAAACCGTACTATCTTTGTCGTACTCGCAACAGCAAAGCTATTGTAGATTCATGAATTGTTCGTAAAGAAATGAAAATTTCGTAAAAAAAATGTTCTGAGAGAAAATAAATAATTTAATGAGTAGCAGAGAGTTTTTTCTAAAATTTATCTTTGATTAGGAGAAATTCACGAAGCTGAAATAGCTGGGACCGAATATTCTTAAAAAAATTATATAAATAAATGAGGTAGGGTAGAAGTACCGTTTGTGGCCACTGTACCATTTATTGTTCAAATAAACGATAGAAATGAATTTATATTAATAAATCATTACAAACTCAATTTGTTTTAATATAAATTTTTTAAAACTCAACAAAAATATGATTATAATATTATAATTTTTTATAAATGAATTCAAATGTTCTGGCTAAAAACGGTGCTAAGGTGGCCAAAAACGGTACTTCTACCCTATGTTATTATTAATTGTAATTAAAGCTTTTTGATTTCAGAAAAGCATGTAATAGTTTTTATAAATAAAAAATAATTTAAACGTTACCTATTATTACTATTAAGCGTAATTTCCCCGGACGCAGGTATTTGTTGCTGTATTTGTCCTTGTTGTTGTTGTTGTTGCAACTGTTGCTGTTGTAACTGTTGTTGTTGTTGTTGGTGTCTCGCTAAACTCGCAAGTTTAGTTTGAGCTATGAACCCAGGTAATAAACCGGACGGTGCTGAATGTTTTTGGGGTAAAATATTATTACTAACATAAGTTCCAGTATTATTTTGCAGTACAGCAGCTGATCCACTCACAACACTATTACTATTAATTATATGCGAATTTGGACCATTTTGATGGCCATTACCATAATTTGTAACACTAGTAACTCGTAAGTTTCTCGTTGGACTAGTCAGTGATTTCGATAATATAGACGACGAAGTTGTCGACAACGACGTTGTCGACGTCGACGATGATGACGGTAACGATGATAATTGATTGTTTATTAATTGTCTATAATGATTAACATTTTTCGTTATCCCACTTTCGGATTGTGTCACCAAGGAAGTAGATAGTGTTGTTAATGGCGAGGAAAATGATTGAACATTAGAGGTAGATGACAATAACGATAATGATGCGGACGAAGATGACGATAACGATAATGATGATGATAATAATGATTGTGTTGATGATAATGATGATGATGATGATGATGATAATGATGATGTGGAAGTTATTGTTGATGTTAAAGGTGTTATTGTTGATGTTGTTACAGGTGGTGTTGTTGTTGTAGTTGCTGTTGTTGTTGTTGTTGTTGTGGTGATGGTTGTTGTTGTTGTTGTTGCAGAACCAGATAAATTATTTACACTTTTACCGACACTATGACACTGATTACGACAATTTAACACATTATTATTTATTGGAGTCACTTGGAAGCGCGAACTACCTAGCTCCTCACTCATTAACGATGGTGGTAAAGTTGCTGGTGATGATGATGATGATGATGATGACATTGTTGTTGACGAAGATGTTGTTGACGACGTTGTTAAAACACCAAGATCGAAGCCCGTCAGTGTATCATCATCAACTGTGAAATAATCAGAGATATTAAATTCCGCTGTAAAGAATTCATCAGTACTAGGTCGATCAGGCTCGATGTCTACGCATATTGATGTTGCTTCCGTAGGAAATGGATATGAAGATGACGCTGGTTTTTTTGTTCTTGTCGAATTGCTTATGTAAAAATGATCCATTTCAGACTCGGATTCTTCACTACTGCTATTACTTGATGTGCTCCAACCCGCTGCTGACTCGTCGTTTTGGTTTGCATCTGTGCCTAATGGAGTTTTTGGCCGAAAGTGTAACCTGTTAAAAAATATTTTTTCAAATATTAATAAATTTCATAATAATTTTAATTAAAAATGTTAAGTTTTTTTTTTTTTTACCATTCTTTTTTGACGGAAGATATTGTCGTCGGTGAGGCAGTAGTTATTGAATCATTATTTTGACTTGATTCATGTATTGTAAAATCTAGTGATGACCAAATATCATCGATATCACTAGGATAACGATCCAATATGACTCTGAAAGAAAATAATTTATTCATTATAGACATTCGTAATAATTTAAAATTTATAATGCCAATTGGCGTTCATGTAATTAAATAAATAAATAAATAAATAAGTAATTTATTATAGAAGTTATTCCAAAATAATTTTTAAGAAGAAATTTGTTTTATAACTGAAACTTTAATATTTAAAAATAAAAAAAAAAATCATCTATAACATTACAATATAAATATTGATCTAAAGTAAATTAATTTTGAAAAAAAAAAAAAAAATAAACTATAATACACTGAAAAAATCTTTTAAAAAGATAAATACCTTCCACCACGTCCATATCTTCGTCTTGCAAGACCAATACATCTTGGGGTAGGTTTACTAATACTTGTTAACGCAAACCTATATTTTTTATCGGCAATACCACCTTCGCTTTTACTACACCAAGGCCAATTACCATAGCCACCTGATACAGGCTATAAAAAAATTTTTAAATGATTAGAAAACAGTAAAATATTGGAAAATGTGAATAGGGATGAATAAAAAAATTACCGGTAAATAATTGCAATACCGATTGCGTCTAAATGCAAACGGACCCTCATCAGCAGTATCATCATCACGTTCTTTAGACATTGACAACTGCGTGTGAGGAAATGGATTATCTTCATCAGAGCTGACAAGCGGGTCCAGCCCACTACCGAGGACACCAGTACGCGAATTACGATTACTACCACCAACACCACAAGCACTACCACTACGTAATACACTATCGTCTAAACCACCACGACCGTCTAATTTATGTTTTCGTTTTTTATACTGTCGTTTTTCTTTTCTTTGTAAACTATCGTCTTTATTACAAACTTTATTTGACCAATTTTGATGTACACCAAATTGATTTGTGAATAATGGAGCAAATGCTGGACGTGTTGTTTTTAATGCTGATACTTCTGCTAATATTTGACCACTGAAATCTTCCGCTTGATACCTGAAACAATAATAATATAATTTATAATAGTTTGATAGATATAATCTTCATAATCGAATAAAATATTGAAAATTGCCAACTTGTATAAAATTATTTCTACTGTACCTTTTTTCAAAAACTTCAATGGTGAGATGAAGATGTTCACGCTTTGTTTTCTCACGTCTTTTAACTAATTCTAATAGTGTTACCGCTTTACTAAGATCCCTACGTAATTTAAGCATCTTTTCATAACTAGTCTCGTCATTTTTACGATTTTTACGAGTTTGCATTTTTTCAGTTATCCTACGAAATGCTAAATAAGGATTGTTGGCCGCAGATCCAAGACGATTATCCGTTTTCACAGTCAACAATAATGGATGTTGTGGCTATACAAATAAAGTAAATAGTTATATTTGTTTATTTGATCATGATAAATCACAATAATGAGTAATAATTTTATTATTATCATTATAAATAAACTCACATTTTTAAGACGTTTATCTAACCAATAATCAAAAACAGCGATAATAAGATCATCATCTTCTTTTAACAGAGCTTTAGCTTCTTGTAACGATACTGTTTTTTGTGCTGAATTTTTCTCAAGTCTATCCATCATCTCTTCAAATTGAAATGGTGTCAAGTCCATTTTTTTACTTTGTATTCCGACCCATTTCTCATCTTCGGAATCCATGTCATAATCTGGTATATCTTGTTCCATTGCAAATGCTGATTTTCGTTTTTTATGAAAACAAAGAGAAGAATTATTACTATTGTAATGTTTCAGTGATAAATAAATAAAATGATCATTAATTGATTTTAAATAAATACTTACGTTGCATGTGTATTAATTGCCGTGGCAATTTGTAATCGGCAGGATAAATTTTGTCGTAAGCTTCTACATCGGTCAAGTCCGTAACTTCAGGTGTCGGAATAATTACGCCTGTGCACATTGCTCTTTGAAGATGATGTTCCTGAATAGAAAAATACAAAATTTGATTAATAATAATTCAATTTAAATTAAATTAGAAGCTTTATTCTTAATTGACTATTATTATACTTGTAAGATTTTTTGTTTAATATAAAAAATAACTCAACTCAAAAATTAAACGGTTAATAATTAAATTCTGTTAGTGGAGTAAAATAAAACAAATTTAATCAGTATGACTGCTCATGAATTTAAATAATTTATTTTGTGAAGATAAAATTAAAAAAAAAAATAATTATTTACAAAAAATCAAAACAGAACAAGTTTTTAAACATTTTACTTTTTATTTTATTATTAAAGTTTAAATTACAATTTGTAAAAACCGATCAACAAAAATTAATAATGCTAAAAATAAACAATTATTGTTTATCTAATGGTGTTGAAAGCGGCCGAAAAATTTCGCGCCAATTTCAAAAATGACCGCTTTGACTCCGTTCGCGCAAGAGTATAAAAATAAACCAACACCAACGAAATAAGACAATGATAATTTAGCACTACTCATGATTTTAGTTAATAATAATGAAAAAAAATTAAAGTAAAATGCAAAAAAATAAATTAAAAAAAAGAAATAAATATTTAAAAAAAGTGCCATCTGTCGGTTGTTTACAAAAATGAAATCTAAAAAAGCGATCCAAAATGGTTGCCATACAGAAAACATGCTGTGATCTAAAAACGTGTTTGGGAAAAATAATTCCTGATAACTTACACTTTCTTCCTCTTTAGTCATACCACTTGGCATTTGTGGTACTGCCCGATTAATTGCTGAATAATCCGGCAAATCGGGCAAATCTTCAGCCATAAAAATAGGCATTGGTTTTGAAGCGTCCAGGGGCTTCGCCCTGAACGACAGCTTGCTCATCGTGTAGATGCACGTAATAACCTAGCTTCAACAAAATATACCTATATGTATATGTGTACCTATTAAATAAAAAAAATTGACGTCTATTTATTTACACTCGCGTCACTTAAATAAGGGACTTAAAATAGGGCCCAAACTAAAGTAACACCTCGGGCCCCTTGAATCCCTCTCCCTCCCTCGAAATAAATAGTATATTGTATAAATTGTCGTTGTATATAATATCAATGTGTGTGAATGATACTGAGGGGGGAGTGGGGTCTCCGGGGCGTGCTTGGAACCTCTTGTTCCTCTTCGGGGCCCTAGAAGTTTGAGGCACCACCATAGGCCTCAACACCCACCGCAATAATTTCTTCAGGGTCTCATCGTTCATCAGCCATTACATCTAACACCCTCACTCATTCACTAAACTAAATATTTCACTGTTAATACATGTTTGCGTTACACGATCCCCGTTTAAAGCCATCATGGCCGACGGACAGCCATTTAATCTACGAGTGAACCAGTCGCGAGACAGGACCGTACCAATTCTCATTTATTTTAAAGGTATCCTCAACCATCAATATTATTGTCTCCTCTGTTTTTTTATGCTTATCCTTCAAGGCTGATACGAAAACCCGCGATATCAATACCACGGGCACTGAGATTTCAAGCTATAAAAAACAACCCTGAAACCCTGATACACAAGCGCTCCAGAGTTAAGGTTGCTTTACAATAATTATTTGTTGTTTTTTGTCTTCATGAAGCGACAAGCATCTCTCACACGCGGTTACTGATGTTACTGATGTTAACTGATTGTTCATTGGGGGTCATCTGAGTGATCCGAACGGAAATGTAGCCAATGTAATAATTGTAAAGAAATTCAAAAATTAACTTGCTCTCTAACAAGTTATATACATTTAATACTTCATACATAACACTTAATGTATGTCAAATAATAGTAAATTCTATATAATAAAATACACACATTAAAACATTTAGATATCATATTTATGAAAAAAATTCAACTGTAACCCATGAAACATTACAAAAGAACGACAACTTATCTCCCTGTCTTTTTGTTTTAACTTAAACTATTATTTATTTATACACCTTCTCAACATTTATCAATAATTACGTTCTTGTTATATGAATATTATAAAACAAACAATTATTTTTTATATATATGTAATTAGAATAACATAAGAAGAAAAAATTATTTATTTAAATATAATTCGTTTAAACTTAGATTAAAGTTAAAGAAATATAGGAATATCAGATATAATTAGTAAGTTCAAAAATATTAAAAAAAATTAAAAAAAAAAGATTTTTTTGTTCCTTTAATATTGATAAATTTTGAGAAAGTGTATAAATAAATAATAGTTTAAGTTGAAACAAATAAAAAACAGTTTGATTTTAATATTTTATATAATTAACAAAAAATTACTATATAAAGAAAAATAAACCTACAACTAATTTCTTACTTATGACACTTTGAAGACTTAGAAGACAGATCAATTGTCGTTCTTTTGTAATGTTTCATGGGTTACAGTTTAATTTTTTTCATAAATATGATATTTAAATGTTTTAATGTGTGTATTTTATTATATAAAATTTACTATTATTTGACATATATTAAGTGTTATGTATGAAGTATTAAATATATATAACTTGTTAGAGAGCAAGTTACTTTTTAAATTCCTTTACAATTATTACATTGGCTACATTTCCGTTCGGATCACTCAGATAACCCCCCCCCCCCCCCGTTCATTGTCCAATCATTTTTTGCCGCCTTTTTTAAATTCAAATTCAAAATATTGGGTTGAGGTCAACCAGTCAGATCGACAACATTCCGAATTATTAAAACTCTAGAAAATTTAAAATTCCGCTACATTCAAAGTTTATAAAATACATTAGCTTAAATAGAATACCAGCTGAAAAACAATTTTGTAAATTATAAAACACCGGGTTATCGAATATAAGTAAATATAAATCTTATATTCCTCAAGAGTTAAAATTAATTTAATTTCGAGAAAGGTTCGTTCCGACGTATATTCATCCAAATACTCATCTATCCGAATAATGATTTGGTTGAAAATTACTCATTCAAAAAATTGGAAATTTTTCTTAGATCGTCCACCTTTACAAGCATGAAATTCGAGTGTTTTCATACATGCTTGTAAATTAAAATAAAATTAATTTAAAAAAATTAATTAAAATAATTAATTTTAAAAAATTTCTAATCTAAATATAAAATTATTTACATTTTTCGGCTAAATGACTGTTCGTCTGTTCATTCATTTTAGCGAACAAATTTTCGTTGTTATGTTTTTTAATTTATTGAGATTTTGTGACTTTGAAAGATTCTATTAATATCGCTTTAGTTTTTTCTTCATTTAAGATTATATTTTTCGGAATTTTAAAATTTGTAAAATTAATTATTTTAAATTACATTTAATATTTACTTTCTAAGTTCTAGTAATTTATTAATTCTGAATGTTGTCAGTGTGACTAGTTGACTGCAACCCAAAATATTTAAGGGGTCATTCTGGTTCCAATGCTCGAAAAAAAACCAGTATACATGATTTTTTTTACACAGAAACTATTATATAGATATTAACATAAAATTCATTTAGCTCAACAAATACACTTTTGAATAACACAAAAAATATCTAAAATTATTTTTTTTTATATTTCTTATATGAATAAACAACGGAGCTCCTCCAAAGGTGGTGTGTCACTAACGAACATGATAACTTGATAACGGTTTACCTTCAATATATAAATAGTTATTGCATCAGATACAAAGACTAACATTTATTGATAAATAATCAAATGGCGGACATTAAAAAAAATAAAACTGAAAAGTGAGGCGTGTTTTCACAGTTTTTAGTCCTAAAAAAATATTAAAAATCAAAATTTCAATTTGATTGTAGGTAGCTGATGCAATTGCTACTCCGATCTAGAATATGTTGTTTAAATTTCATTGATATTGGGTCAGTGGTTTCGGAGATATCTTCTACGTCAACCAAAAAAGCATAGTTCTGAGGTAAACGCGTTTGAAAGTTTTTTTAGTTTAAAAAAATAAAATTTTACCTAAAGTCAACCATCGATGCCGGTATCGTAACAAATTTCTTCAGCCTTTTTAAAAATTTCATTTTCTTTCACTTGAAAATCCACATCAACATCGTAAAATTATACAGTTACAGTGGTCCAATTACTTGGAAATGTTAACACAATACTTTTAGATAATTGTACTTTCGAAAAATGTAAAAAAAAAAAGTAAATTTTTTTTTGAAACTTACAAACCAGAATGACCCCTTAGTATCAAAAAAGATTTTGGTTATTATTTGGAAGTAGAAACCACAATGTTTCTATTCATAAAAATAATATTTAAGTTTTTTTTTTGTTTTTTATATTTATTTGTATTTTGTTTTACTATGACTTTACTACAAAATTTATATTTTGCTAGATTATAAAATAAAAAATTAGAAATTTTATTTACTAATTAATACTTTTAAGGAATTTATTGGATTTAATTTGTGATAATTGTTTAGATATCCACAGAGAAAAAATTTCTTTTGAAAAAAATGGGCATTGTTGTAACTAGAAATTAATTTATTGAAAATTTTAAACAATACATTTCTTAGCTGAAGAAATCAAAATTTTTCTTACAATAACTTTTTTGTTGAAAAAAAAGTTTTCTACATTTGGGGAAAAATAGTTTTGAATTAAAATTCGCATTTTGTCTATTTGAAATTCTTTTCTTCCAAATTTAAAAAACTTTATTTTAACACAGAAGATTTCTGTGAGAAAAATTTTGATTTCTTCAGCTAAGAATTAAATAAAGATGTTTATTAAAATTTTCACCAAATTGATTTTTTATTACAACATTGCTCATTTTTTTCAAAAGACATTTTTTCTCTCAGAGTAGGGCTCCACCGTTTTTCGATCATGTAAAAACAAAAATTAGATTGAATTGATTGAATCTCATTAAAAATTGAATTGGTTGAATCTCATTAAAAATTGAAGACAAAATTAAGTCTAGACATAGCTCACTAGTTTTATTCGACATTGCTAAGATATACGAAAGAAATTTTTTTTTTTATTATATATTTAAATTTCAATCTGTTATTTTATAACAATAAATAATTTTTGTGATTTTATGTACATGACCGGTATTTGGGACAATGTCCACTAGTATTATTGAAAACGATTACACGAAAGAAATAAAAATGAAAACGTCATTGCGCTGAATGTTCCGGAGTCAAAAAGAAAAGTCCATTGGTGAAGATCGCCTGCAGGATAATCGTGGCAACTGGAAAGGGCTTCAGTCTGTAAATTCCATTTTCTGTAAACAATGATTCCACAGAACGTGTAGTAAAATTGACGCACTAATATATTTTTCACAAATAGTAATTTTTTAATCCTGTACATCATAAAGATTGTATAAAAAAGTATATAACTGTTTCATGAGTATTGTAGGTAGTAACATAAATTTAAAATTAAATCAGGCTGTCAAAAATTGGACCTTTATAAATAATCGATACTTTTATCTTATATTATTCAAGAAAATTGTTAATTAAAATTAAATGAAATTTAAATTTCTCTATGAATTGCTATGGATTTACTCGTCTCTAAATTTTTATTTAAATGGAACATTATAGACTCAATTGATAAAGTAGTAAATTCATTCACAGATAACGTGACTACTGTTTCATTCTCTATTTACATGGACCAGAGCCGTAAATACGAGAATAATATATCAAATACATTTGTGGAGTTTTATTTACCAGAAAAATAATTTAAAAAATGAACCGTGTTATCGTTTATTCTCATTTATCAAAATTATCACAGCATATTAAAAAAATTATGCCGCAACTCAACATTGTTAATATTAATCCAGGTAAATAATATTTACAAGAAATTTAATTTTTCAAATTAACATACTTAATACTTTTTATTAATTTTTATAAACTCGAAATTATGATTATCATTAATCATTATCATTATCACTTTAAAGATAAGATAATTTATATGCGGTTTTCCGCAATAATTATTTTGATTATCCTCCTTTTCTAAGAATTTTAAACTATAAATAAATAATATATAATATAACTATCTGTGATTTTAATCATAAGATACATTGATTCAAAGAGTACTTTGAACTTAAAATTTTTTATATTTTTTTTTTTTTTTTTTTTCCCAGATAATAATGAGTCACTGGAATTAAATAATGTTGAAATAATGGTAACAGATTGTTCATTACTATTGAATATTAGGAACAAATTGAGTAATATTAAATGGATACAATTTACATCAGCTGGAGTTGAAGAATTGCTCGGCTTAAGTGATGATAAAAATATTAATTTTGTAGTCACCAGATTCGTCGATTCAGCTTATGGTTTAGACATGGCAGAGTATGTTGTTATGCAAATTGTTGCTCATGAAAGAAACCAATGGAAAGAGTATGAAGCCCAAAAAAAAAGTTTTTGGTCCAGTGATTCGATGTTTGGACAACGAAGGCTATTGTCTGATATGACTATTGGGATTATGGGTGTCGGTAATATTGGAAAAATTGGTTGGTATATTTTAGAAATTATTTATATTTTTTAGGTTGAAAAATTTAACTATAAGTGCAATTTTTTTAAAAACTTTTTTAGTTCTAATTTAATAATTAAAAACGTTGGGTAACTTTAGTGTTATATAAAATTATTTTAACTTTTCATAATTTTTATCACAAAAAATTATTTAATAAAATTCTCCTTTGTAATTTAATTATCATTTATAATTATTAGTATTCTTTAATTATTATTATCATTTATAATTATTAATATTATTTAATTATTATTATCATACATAATTATTTAGTTAATAATTATTATTATTCATTAGTACTAGGTAATAAGATGATTATTATTATTATTTAAATTGTAAACTTTGCATAACGTTAGATATTATGTTTAAAAAAGTTGAGTTGCGACGCATCACCATAAATTATATTTTTATGTTTAATTTTCATTCAACAATTTGAGTAAATATTTATTAATGTTAAAAAATAACTAATTAATAATGTTTGTTTGACATTAAAAAAATTTATCTATTAATATTTAATCAAAAAATTGTTGATTTTATTTTTAAAATTAAAAAAAATGTTTTTTTTAATTTCCGAAAATCATATACAACCATATCGGTTACTTGGATTTTTTTATTTTATATCTTTTTGTAAAGAAATAAAATTTTTTTTTTTTTAATAGTCTTATGAACGTGGACTTGGCGCGATTTTTTTTACAGTGAAACTGTTTTTGTTCGGATTTCAGTATTTTTTGTAATTATAATAAAAATTGACAATTTTAATTCAATGTATCCCCTTTAAGCTATAGTTCATGTAAAAGTTATTCTTGCGCCGTCTGGCGTGTGTAATTGCAAGCTGTCAAATATCTTTTTTTAACTGTAGTTTCTCATCTATTATAAGATTAGTATGCATCCTTATATTATTTAATCTCTGGCCGGCCGCTTTTTACATAAGAAAAAAGTTAAAATCTAAAAATCTGGGTTGCTATAGTTTGTGCTGATTATTTTTAATAATTTTAAATAGAAATTATAAAGATAATTGATAATAATCAAGTAATACGCGTAATAAAAAGCATGAACTACTATTATAAAATATCATATAAAAAAAAAATCAAATTAAATTTGAAAAAAAATTTGTAACCTCAAAAAACCGTTCTGCTTACGGTATATACACACTCGGTAGTCTGGCTTGAGAACGGGACTTGGCGCCAGATTCTACCGAATCTTTTGATATCAAATAATTATCAAATTACTGACACAAAATTATGCAAAACAAAAAGATATTTTAATACATTTTTATTAAGCGCTAATTGAAAAAAAATTTGGATTTTTGAAAATATAAAACTCAAAATTTTTTACATTTTTTTCAGTTGCGAGGACTTTGAAACATTTTAATGCTAAAATTTGGGGCTTAACTCGCACGATTCCTACTACAAAAGAGCCTTATATTGACGAGTATCGGACGACAAGTTCATTGCCAGAATTTTTATCTAATTGTCATTATATTATAAATATAATGCCAGCTACTCCAGAGACTGATGGGCTCTTGAATGGTGATATGTTAAAAAATTGTGAAGAAAATAACGCAATTTTTATGAACGTTGGTAGAGGAAATATAATTAAAGAGGATGACTTGGTGAACGCTCTTGAAAATAAATGGATAACTGCTGCAATTCTAGACGTTTTTGAAGTCGAGCCTTTACCATCAACCAGCAAACTTTGGACAATGCCTCAGGTAATACTGTAATAATAATACTGTTTCATTTTTTTTCTTTTAGTCTATTTTAATTTAAAATTTATTTTTATTTTTATTGTAGGTAATAATTTCGCCACATAATGCATGCTTAGCAAGAGCTGAAAGTGTTGCAGAATTGTTTTGTAATAATTATAATAAATTCACCCATGGTGAACCATTACTTCACCTTGTAAATTTTCAACGGGGCTATTGATAAAATATTTACTTCGTTTATTAAGGATGTTTTATAAGTTATTTTCAACAACCACGTTCATTCCTGTGCCATCTTGATCAGTTGAATTTTTTAGATCCCAAAATTATTTGAAATTAATATTTATACGTCATAATATATATTAAAAAAAAATTTTAGCTATTTTATATTTTTTTCAGTTAAATTCTGGTCTCTAAATTGCGTTTTTGTATTTAAGTATTTTTTTTTTTTTTTTAATTAATTAATTCAATTTATGAATAATATTTTTATATTAAAATTTATTATCAATAAAAGCTTTTTAAAAATACTTTATAAGTTTTACTGTTTATAATCATAAACTTTTAATTTTTTTAAAATACAAACTAGTATACGTTGCGCGCGCAAGCACGCGTGTGAATGTTGGTATGGAATTATCTATATTTTCATGCTTATGATATATTTGACCAATCACGTTACGACAATAGTTTGCTTACATGATATATTTTCATATTTTTCATCTAAATTATAAGAGTAGACTAGAATTTAATTTTCGCGCGCAAGCGCGCGCCTCATATTTATTGTCATGATATATTTATGTGTCGTTTATGTATATTATATTCACTTTCAACCAATCAGAATGAGAATATTTATTTTCAACCAATCACATCACGAATAAATTGGTTTCACATACATTTCATCTCAATTTTATATTAGGACTAGAATTTAATTTTCATGCGCAAGCGCGCGCCTCATATTTATT